GATGAAGAACAAATAGGTCTAGAGGCTCCATCAGACTTAGTGAATCTTGTGTTGAATTGAAATGTTTCTCTACTTCTTTAAACACTGCAGGGGGAAAACCGCCTCATTGCATTTGGATTTCTGTTTGGCTAAATATGCAGTGCCACGTCTAAACTGTATTCTTTTTCATAAATATCTTTTTTTTCCCGGCAGGGAAATCACCGGGGCAGTGGTTAGAGGACAGGCCAAACGTGGTTACAATAAGAAAGCTCCAGTGTCAGAGAGAAGACATGAGGGAGGGACATGGGAGAGGACAGATGATTGCAGGACAAGAAAAAGGAAAGTTGACATAAGGAGGAAAATAACAGCAGTACAAAGAGAAGATGTGGGAAGAGGAAACATTGCTGAAAGAAAAGTGTGTATGATACCTGCTGATTAATGATATTTGAATGAGTTGAGCTTTAACTGAGTGTGAATGTCTAATGTATATGTTGCTGATGATGACGTATAATAAAATTTACAGATTTAGAAGTTTAAACCTGAAAATTTCAAAAGATTAAAAATTAAGATTAGAATGTAATAAAACTGCTATAATGTTTGCAGTGTTGCAAAGATTTAATATGCACGCCTTTCCCAGGCACCACACACTTATGCAGACATTAACAGGTGCCCTGTCTGCTTTGCATTCTGGGACTTATGACACTGTTTTAACAGCGGAAAGATCTGAAACTCAGGCAGCTCGAAAATAACTCAGAGCAGAGCTGGCAGGGTGTAACCAAGGGTCAGTCAATCATCAGCATTTCAAACCTAAATCATAGTTTGTACTTTCAGAACCTCATTGTCAGTTTACCTTATACAGATCACTAAACTTTGCCAGATTACAGTGGAGGATATGAGTGTGTTTCAGAGAGAGATTTGTTGATTTGCATGTGTGTAGCCGATAGATTAACATTACGGGGGGAGATGGGATGTGGTCCCTGGTAATCTATCTACTGTAAACTATCTCACTGTTGTGGACCAGATTCTATACTTCATTTAGATTCAGCAGGGAAATTGTGTTTTACTTCATGTAATGTTTAAATTTAGGACTTTTATTAATGGAGTACTGATGCATCTGAATGGGAAATCTCACCCCTGCACCTCTCTCCCCAGAGCTGTATTCACAACGTAAATACCTGACGCACATCATAACATTATCACCCACTCGCTGAGCATGAAGGATAGGCAGATAGACTATGACATAGATACAGAGCACCCAACAGAGAAAGATAAAACATTTAAGATGATGAAGGAGGGAAAAGGTGGAGGAGGAAGCCCAAGCGCAAGCGTGCAAGGAGGTCTGAAGAAATGTGAATCATGACAACTGCATAACATTTTGACTTCTGGCACACTGTGATGAGAGCTGGACATTGGAAGTCATTGCTGCAGAGTGTGAACCTGTGATTGTGCCTACTTGTAGTCTTCAGCGGGGAGAGCATCACGGCTTTGACAGTGTGCCACTCACAGGACAGGTAAACTGCAGAGAGATGGTCTGATTCATATAGAGGTTCCTCTTTTTCATTATGACAACAGCATGACTGTGGACTTATAAAGAAAAGTGTCAAATACAAATAACCTGAATACTTTTATCTTTCACTTCACTTTCACTAGCATTTCATTATTGTAATATTGATTTATATTGGTTAGACTTAGATTTGTTTATGCTTTATGAGGATGTTTCCTTGAAAGAACTGTTTAATTTTCTCCTCAGAAAAACTGAGACAAAGCTCCAAGATAACATTTGGTTTGTGTTAGTTGTGCTGAGTTTGTAAGCAGACATTGATCGTTTCACTAAATGAAATCCAAGTAAATACTATGTAATTAATTATTCATTTTGAAATACTATTGAGAAACTTCTCAGTCTAGGCTGAATACCAACTGTTTGACAGTAAATGTACCAGTTCAACAGTCTCCAGGTACCATAACCTGCAGCAGTCTTTTCCACTTGCTTTCTAGGAAAATATTTATTGGACAGGCATGACATCAAGCTTTTCATCCAACTCTTGTCAAGAAAGTGTTAAGCTATTTCTTTAAAAGTAGCAGTCTTTTTTTCTGGTCTTACAAGTGACGTTACAGTTCAGTGAATGAACTGAATGATTCTTCTTTTACCATCATATTCACTCAAAATGTCCCCACATTACATATAGTATCGCAGTTGTTTTGAATCCCATTTAGTTTTCTTATCAATTAAAATTTCTAAATAATAATAAATAAATAAACCATGAGAGTGTATTTTATTATTTACTCTTGTTCAGCCCTGAGTGCTATGTTCTGCTTTGGCACTCACTGGTCACTGCACACTCAGTATAGTGTTCAGGGGCCTGTGCTTCCCTCTACTACATGTAGACACTGCCAGGAGTGAAACGTTATTCTTAAACTTCCTCCACTTGAATGTTATCTGAGTATCACTCCCACAACTAAAAGTCATGAAGGTTGTCAAATCATACAGCTGCACCAGGCCTCTTTTTTTTTATAAAAAGGATTGTCCAGCAGGTTCTCTGTAGAGCTGATTGTTGCTGCTTGGAGCCGAACGCGAGGCTCACTCACTGTAGCAGAAGATGTAAACTCACATTTGTTCAAGCACTGGGTAATGGTTTGCCTTTCATTGTGTTCTCTCTGCTCACTCTCACACCATGATTCCTTCCATGTTCAGTGAATTTCACTATCAGTGTGCGTGTGCGATCCTGAACAGCAGGCCTCCATCATGACTAAAGCAGCTCGAGTGATAAGGTCTGAGGCAGACATGCAGGCTTACGGCTCGGAGTTCATTGGCTCTTTGAGATTGTAGGCCGATGTTTTCGTGTCTTTCCTCTACACTTCAAACAATACAATTTTGCTCTCTGTGGTTTTTAATGGTTAGCTTTGAGTTGCTAAATTCAGCAGTTGGTGAATGTGTTTACCATTTTTATGATAAAGACTGAGAGGATACAGACAGGCTGGGACTATCCAAATCCTTAAAGCCTTTCGTGTGGGAAAGCCCGAACGATCCCTCTTCTGCCTGGTCCAAAGACCTGAGCTGTGATTCCTCCTGGCAGGATTTTATACAGACTCTGAAAGCTCCATTACACTAAAGCCTTTTCACTGACAAGCCAAATGACATGATAACAGATGACATTCTGCTCTGTGCAGTGCTATAGAGATTTCTCTCTTTCTGCTCATGCCCATTTCCTTACACAAATGTCTGGGGGAAAAAGTGTCTTTCAGTGTGTTACTTTTTCTGTATGTCTCTTTGGCACTCATATGAAGCTGTTTCTTGATGACTTTTAAATGGTGTATAGAACAGAAAGTAGTTTACCCTCATTTACTCAGGGAAATTTTGCTGAGTGTATGTTCTCCTCATGCAAAAATACAAAACTATAAATTTACATCTGGTAACCTGCGACCTCACACTCTGGTACTATGGGCTCTGAGCCGCTCACCAGACCAGGTGTGGGTAAGTACCTTGCTGTGAAGAACTTAAGTGGCAGGTGTTGAAAGAAAAACATTGTCCCATGCACATTTTTAAAATCTGGTCCAGTAAATCAAACTGGTCACTGCTTTTCCACCTCACATTCAAAGGAATAGTTTGATTTTGCTTCTTTGCCTTTTTTTTTTTTGCTCAGATTTAGATAAAACTGATACCTCTCATGTCTGTATGCTAAATAAGAAGTTGCAGCCAGTAGCTTAATAGCTTAGCTTAGAATAACAGCTAACTTAGCTATGTCCAAATGTTTGACATATTAATCACTTATTAGCATGTCAAATCTTGTTTCTTAAATTAGTACATAAACCAATAAAAAATGAAAATGAAAAAAGTTGTGGTTTTACTGTCATGTGCTCCACTGTTTCTTCGTTTTGTCGTCACTGTGAATCGGAATCAGAATCAGATTTATTTGTCACTACCATAATATGCATTTCATGATACATGGAAGCGAAATATCATACTCCATAGATCAGGGTGCAGGTCACATTAAAAACAACAAAAGGCATGTTATACACAGGGCACAATATTTGTGACATAAAATCATAAAAAACATGAAAAGAGAGCAGCATTAAAAAAATTTTTATAAGAGCAACTCAAGATGAGTTATTAAAAAAAAAGGTGCTGATGCAAACAATGCAATCAATGGAGGCTGTTAACAGCTGTGAAGTATGAGGAGTTATTCCAGACACTCCTGCTTCCCATAGACAATGTTGGTGACTCAAGAGTCTGGACCAACATGAAACTCTCCTGCTTCAATTATCAATTCAAAGGATTAACAACTGCAGTACAATATATCTGCTCCTTTGACAGAAAGTCAAAGCTACAAGCTTGTGGACAAAAAAAACCTTAAAGGGAGAAATTAACTATGATTCCCAAGGTGCATTTAGGCAAGAACTATCCAATCACAGGGCTTAAATTTCTTTGTTATGTGAGCCGCTGACAGCGGCGAGAGCTGAAGATTTTGTTGTTGAGAACAGTGAATACAGAATCTGCAGGTTAAATCAATTCACTGTTAAATTCAGCATTCAGTTCAGTAGCTGCGGAGACGCGTTTAGTTAACAGCTGTAACAACAAAGAGTTTTAAATTCACTCCCACTCTGAGTCACACCTTTGACACCTCCTCCCAGGCAAACAAGGCCCATGGGTGGAGGCCACAACATAAACCTACAGGGTGTTTACATGATCCAGGAGAGTCCTGAGTGTCTTTGTTCAGTAACATTCAGGATCCTTTAAGGAGAAAGTGACATGTGAAGTCAGACTGGGAAAACCAGTTACTCCTCCCACGTGTCGGCTCTATCAGATGTTCTTACATCTTAAGATGCTGATAATCAGATTTTGTTACCTTACCATAGCTAGACAATATATTTAATATTAATTGTAAAGACATGAAAGTGTTTTTGGTCTTCTCCTCTAACTCTTTTCCACAATGTTGAACTTTTGTGTCATCGTCCTCTGAGCTGGAAACAAAGTGCTCTAACATATAAGCATTTTCTCTCTGTCTTCATGTTTCTGTTTGTAGGCATGGCTCCAGAGGTATGGCTACCTCCCTGCTGCAGACCCCAGAATGTCAGTGCTGCGTTCTGCCCGAGTCATGCAGTCCGCTATCGCTGCCATGCAGCGCCGCTACGGCCTCAATGTCACAGGGACTCTGGACAGCAACACTATAGAGTGAGTCACACCTTTAAAGATGCCACTGTATGAGCTGTGTTCACCTCATGATGCGTTTCTTCAAACAGTAAGAAAATAATGGCTGAATTTATCAAATCTGAACCAGATTCAATTAATCTAGATGAATGCACATATATCTCAGTTTAAATATTAATTTCTTGTGTTGGCTTGCATGTCAGTCATTAGTGTGGGTAAATTAACAAATGTTTTGTGCATGTAACTTTGGGAATTTAGTTGATAGACTTTCAAACAAGTGACTTTTTCATAAGATGAATTATTGAAATACCAAAATGTCAGCCAAATAGGCTGATTTAGGCACCACATATACTGTTGCTTTTATCAATGCTTGGTTTCCATCATCTGATAAAGACTACAAGATGAAATTTGAAGTCACTCAGGCACAGATACATACTTTACATGAGGAATGAACAACAGTAAACTGAGAAGCAGTGGTAAAAGAAGAGCTAATATTGTTATAGTTATTCATTGCATTTTATTATTTAGATCTGTGAAAATGGAGAAAAAATGGTGTCTGAGACTTTCATTCGGCCCCTGTTTAGCTTTCTTTACGCAGACACAAAGTTACCCTGACATGGCTTAAGTAGGGCGTTTTTAATTTGATCAAAGGGGCCTTTTACCCAGAGTACACCTCTGCTGTAAGAACAAAGGCTGCAAAATGCCAAAGTACTGATACTCAGTGGAGGAGAAAGTAGAGCAGGGACAAGGTCTGCTTTCTCTTGACTCCATCTGAAAGGGATATAGAGAAGGATGAAACCACCTGAACATGAGAAGATTATACATCTAATTATGAGGTGATAAAAACCTGATGATATTAATGTTTTAAGCCAAATGGAGCCCAGGTTTTACCCTGTTTACCAAGATGTCTTGTTACCTGCAGATCACTATCACAGTGTTAACTGACATTTGTCCCCAATATTGAAATACCATCCTTGCTACAAATAGCACTGAGCTTAAATTGGCCACTGAACTGTAACATGGTAGTGTGGTGGCTGGTGATGTGAAAGCAGACTAACATCTGTCCAACCACTGGGCTGAAACTGAGTGAGTGTGATAAGCTAACTGTCTGCCTGTTTGTTTCCCCTCTGCTTCTCTTTGTTGATGTAGCGATAACACAATAAGGTGAGATGTCTTTTGTATATATGAATTTGTCAGTATACCTGTATACCTGTGTACTGTGTGGGAAATATGAGAAATCACATTTTTTGTGTTTAGTGAATTCATGTATTATCATGTAAGTGTTTTGTATATTATCCATGTCTTCTACATACAAATATACAGATAACTTTAAATGAATGACTGTGTTTCATCATTACAGTTTGCCGCTGTTCATCATGTCATTAGCTTATATCCCTCTATAAAAATGTACTGTGATGATACCTTTAGTAAAATGATGGATACTGATACCGTCAGTGCTGATCGGTGGTCCCCTCTCCACTCTCCTGTAGGTGGATGAAGAAACCCAGATGTGGGGTTCCTGACCAGATAGGGGGTGCGTCCAAATTCAGTGTGAGGAAACGGCGGTACGCCCTCACAGGGCAGAAGTGGCAGCACAAACATATCACATACAGGTGGGTGGATTCAGTTTATCAAGTTTTTTAAGTTAGCATCTCAGAAAAATCCAACTTTGCTCCGATCCCTATAACCACCCCCACATTCACAGAAAATTCCAGATACACACACTATCGCTGCCCATCAAGGGAGCTTTGGTGAAGTTGTGAGGACGTCCAGTCAATGAGATTCACCCAGTGTAGGCCACCAGCCACAAAGAAACAACTGATATCCACACACACACACACACACACACACACACACACACACACAGAGAGAGGCCTGTGCACACAAACATGGCTTCAGGACTTAACCAGTGTCATTGACCTTTTCATTAAGATCCACATTCTTTGCAGAGACAGAAAAAAGGTCTGCTGCTTCTTTTCAGGCAGTTCTTGCGCCTTTCTTGTCCTCCACATTTGCCTTTTTTAAAACTCTTCCCTCATCTCCCGTTGATGTGACAGGCTATTTAGAACTGTAACATTTTGGCAGAAATATTGACTGTATACTTCCTCTCTATAGCCTGTTTGAACATTTCCACATTTCCCACCTGTGGAGGAAGAGAGCAACTACTGAACAGTCAATATTTGATCTTATATAATGGACAGAAAATTGCAAAATCAATGGTTCAGCCAAAGTTCAGCTTCTCTTTAACCTGTAACCTTTACACACAGCACAGACCATGTTCTTCAAATCTCAGACTATAGAAAAACCAGCACAAATGGGAGAAGAGTGTACATGTAAGAGCCATAGATGCACCGCATCATCAGTTTCATAATTCATAAGGAAATTTTCTGACATGCAGCTCCATGAGTAATAATGTATAGGACAACATGCTTAGGTTATATAATATTTCTCAGATGATTTATTGGGGCCAATAGCCCAGTTTCTGTAATATTTTATACAGACTATACTGGCGCCTGCCCCCAGCTCCATGTTCCACAGGATAATCCTCAAGAAGTGGCCCTGTTTTTTTTATTTCTGCTCTGCCTTGAGGATAAATGTATAAGCAGTATTACATGCTGAATATAATCTAGTGGATCAGTGACCTACAGATGAAGTAGGACTGTATATCACTGATGGCAGAACTGTCCATGTCCATGCTTGTGCATTTTTCTTTTTAAAATATGACGCTGGGATTGGGTGGAAGTAGTTTCGTCAGTACTTGGTTCATCTGTGCCGGCACAGATTTGAAGAAAAGAGGGAAATGAGCAAGTGTGATCAAGAGAGGAGGAGTAGATGGGTGGAAATGAGGAGTGTTGGATGAGAAGCAGCTGCTGAGAAAGAGATGAGCTGTGAGGAGGAAACCCCAGTGGAGGGCAGAGGGTGCTCTTTGACAGATTAGGGTTATGTAATAGGATAGGAGCATTCTCACTCTGTGTGTGTGTGTGTGTGTGTGTGTGCGCGTGTGTGTGTGTGTTGTACATGGACGTTCGCCTGGCCTCCAGTCAGCAGTCAGATGTGCCTGCAGCTGCTCCTTTTATCTCAGATCAGTGCAGTGGAGGTAGTTAGAGAATGGAGCACATCTTGGTAACACTTTATTTTACAGGTCCTGATTTTCCAGCTAATTTCCTTGAAACTTTCCTCATGGTTTCCTAAAAATTGGCTGGAATTTATCTGTAAATTACTGGGATATTTCCAAGAAAGGCCTGACGCACTTTGGTATTAATTATAAGGGAAAGTGTTAGTTGCCACAGTTATTAAGTACCTGCTCATTATCTGTCATTAACTGCAGCTTAAAGTCATGAAGATATTATTAAGAATAATAATATTAAGAATTTGTTTGTCTTTCTAGGAAAGTCTGATGGATACTGGCATCTGTTTATGAAGTATTTTTCCCTTTTTTTTCCTTAACATTCTGAATATAACCAGCACACTCCCAATAACTATAGCAACTAACTCTTTCTTCATTTCCCTTATAATTACAAATTAGTACCAAATTGGCCTCTCTTGGAAATATCCTTGTAAATAACAGACAAATACCAGCTATAATTTTGTAAATTATGAGGAAAGTTTCCAGGAAATGAACTGGAAAATATTGATAAATCATTACTGCATCAGTATCTTTACTGCTTTTGGGAAACTTCGTCTTCATTAACATAAGATGCAGATTTCCGTAAAGGATAACTTGGTTTATTATAAGTTTGGTCTCATATTTTTGGCCATTGGTTATCATAACTTTGTCGTGTCTGTGAATGGGGACTCCACTATAGCAAGGAAACTACAAGAAACAGGCTGTAAACAAACCTACCATTTAGTTTGATTATCTAAGCCACTTTATTTGGAGGTAAAACCAAGATGCAGCTTATGCACGCGGACGGACAGTGAGGACAGTGGGTCAAAGCTGAACCCGTGAGTTGGTTTGTTGTTGAATCTTTGAATATTCTTGTTTTTTAAAAGTATTTAACTAGTCAGAAATTTGGCTGCTGAGAGTGAATAAGCATACCTCTACTGACTATTCTTTTAAGTTGAAATAGAAGTGAGCAGGAACACATGGCTCGTTTGAATGTATTTTTCCTCCTGGTGACTCTTTGTGTGAGGTACAGCTGTAAAACTGTAGTGTTGTGGGTTTGAATCCAGGCTGGAGCCCTTATCATGTCCTCACGTCTCCTCTAAAACTTCCTTCTTTCTTCTTCAAACTCTAAAGCCCAAAAAATAATCTTAGGAAAACAACACTGGCATTTTGAAAGTATAACAAATGTAGTCTCCCCAGGCGTGTGCTAGTTTCCATGTAGCCACATGCAGTACTTGCTGTAGGGAGGCACTAATTAGCTTTGGCATGCCTACTGTTCTCCCTGCATGCAGGTACTATTATAGCACATGAATTGCATCCGGAATCATTATCACCTCGCAGCATGGAGTTTAATATTTGATATGGCCTCAGAGCAGGTTGGATCCTTTCTTTTCTTGTCTTCTCCCTGCATGTGTTTTTCTCTCTTTATCCATTTCACCTATAAAACACACAGGACACACGCACAGTGAGTTTGGTAATAGAGTCGAATGAAGTGGCCACAGTTGTGGCTAAGGCCGTTCAGACAGAGCAGGACAAGGACATGTACTCAAGGAGACCCTTCTCCATTTTAATCTGAGGAAAGACAACAAAGACAACCATTGCATTCACACAACACTGCTTCAGTTGATGTTCAGGATTGTGTCTGAGGGTTTGCCGGTGCTCATCTTGAGATGTTAGCATTTACTGCTCATGCTTCTTGTTGGACAGTTGAGGACACACACATTGTTTTTCACAGTTTAAAACACTTCCAACAAATCTGATCATAAAATTAAAAAAATGAGCTGGCATAACATGGTTGTTGTTGCTGTCAGCTTGAGCCACCGTAGGTTATGACTAATTGATTCACTGCTGTGAAACCCTTGTTCTCTGATAAAGAGTTCTGGTTAGTTGTTAATGGCATCACACGTGCACAGGCAGTGGGAATTACTGTAGCTTTGTCTGAAAAATGTAAAAATGATGCAAAGTTTAATTTGGGATCATTTATGCTCATCTGCACCAGTGTAATGTAGAATTAGCAACTGTTTTACCCACCACACTCAATATTTGTCATGTGTAACAATTAAAACATTCTTACATTAATACTGGAGCAAATTACTACACGTGCATGTGCTGTAAAGATGTCCCTATTGATATGATGATAGATTAAATACATATCACACAGCTCCAGTTCATTCTGCTGTGGAGGTTTCAAAAAGCATCAAATTTGATTTCAGGAAGTGTGCAGACTTCCTGTCTTTTACCTCTGCAGTGCTGGTGACTCCACCATCCCTGCTGCTAACCCTGTTTCTTTATTCACATACATTTCTTTGGGTTTGTATTTTAAAATTACACAAATTCTATATCTTTATGTGTCTGCAGGGCTCAGCTCTGCCAAAACACAAAACATTAGCTTTAAATGAAAGTTTTGCCAGAAGTTGTGAGTGTAATTAAAGTAAACACATCTTTATTCAGCTGTCAGGAAGTCAGTTGTGGAAGAGAAAATAGAGGAAAAGGAGCAGTTTGTGATTTGGTATCAGCAATCAGAACATCTTCAATAAACACTGCACTTTATTTATATTTCATAGCTTCCGTTCTCACTGATTCAGAAATTAATCTGAGCTCACATGCATTTTAAATATGCATTATATAAATGTGCCTTGCAGAAGCCTACCCAGGAGCAGTACTCAAAGACATGATGCTCTGATAATATTTATTCCTTTTATGGAAAATGACAGAGAAACTGTTAAGAACTAACATGAAAAAAGTAACAAAGAATGAAGGTGGTAGAGGGAAAAAAAGGGAATTCTTAAATCAACTTCAAACATCTGAGAGAGAAGAGGGAAAATCAGAAATTGGCTCTGTGCTGTTTTGTACTTTATTTACTGCTCTTATCAACTGAACATCAGCCAACCAACTCTCCACCTAGGTCAGAGTCTGAGCTACCAGCACAATAACACAGTATTGAGTCTTGTGAATGGATGATGTAAACTACACCTATCCATCTGTCCCAGGAGAGAACGTGACAGAGTGAAACTGAGATATTTTTGGAACAAATAAAGTGGAGAGACTTTTCTGATTGCCCAACCTAGAGTGGGGCTCTCGGCAGGCACTGGGCTGTTGATAATCCTTAATTAGAAAATAAATTCCAGAGGCAAATTCCTCGCCACACCTGCAGCCAGTCGAAGCCAGCAGGAGAGGAGTCAGCTGTTTCCTCTGGCAAATCGCTCCATTTAGCTCTCTGCTGGTGAGCAGGATGAGCGTGAAATGGCAGCATGTGGAGAAAACCGTGATAGTGACAGTTTTTTTTTTTTTTTTCTGGCAGTGTGATCTCAGAGATTGACATCCAGCAGTTTCCTCCTTTCTCAGCTGTTGTGTTGGTAACAGTTATAAAGTGTGTTGTTTTCGGTCCACCATATCTGTAGCTTCAGAGGAGCTGGAGCTGTTTACTCTACCTGATTAGACTCTGTTCTTTCTTTGGACAGAAAAGAAAGAAAAAGCTACTCTGAGGTGTGTTTTTTTTTATATCAAACGCTCGCAGAACCCAAGTGTCTTCTCAGACCAATTTACAACAGATGTTCTCATCCTGACAGTTGAAGGAGAAGCTTACTGAGGCGTGATGATCTGGTTGTGTTGGACAGAGACCTCTGTGTTTTCCCAATCTAACTTTTCTTCATCTCATGTCCCTTCAGTATAAAGAACGTGACGCCCAAGGTGGGTGCTGAGGAGACCCATGATGCCATTCGACGAGCCTTTGACGTTTGGCAAAACGTGACGCCACTGCGCTTTGAGGCTGTGCCCTACAGTGAGTTGGAGAGGACCAAGAAAGACGTGGACATCACCATCATCTTTGCTTCAGGTTTCCATGGTGACAGCTCGCCCTTTGATGGCGAGGGTGGCTTCCTGGCTCACGCGTACTTCCCAGGGCCAGGAATCGGAGGTGACACACACTTTGACTCAGATGAGCCATGGACGCTGGGAAACCCCAACCATGACGGTAGGAACTGACTTGTGTTTTTATGACACAGGATGCTGTTGGCGATGTGCATAGACAAAGGTCATAAACAGAGGTCAGACAACTCACCTGGACTATTTATATATATATATATATACACACATAAATTTCCCCTAGGTGATAAATAAAGTATCTATCTATCTATCTATCTATCTACATATATATATATATATATATGCAGAATATATAGTATTGATATTTGGAACCAAGGCCTGACTAGAGGTTACCCCAACCTGAACCCGAATTGCATTAATTAATTTACAAAAAAGACAGACCCGATCTGACCGATCACTGAGGCCAATGGCTGTGATGTCAGATCATCGGTATGGAAAGTTAAAGAAGTTGCCAGATGCAGAATGGTGCAGGGGAGGGAATTTCCTATGCTATACAACAAGCAGTAACAAAGTACAAAGCCGACTTCAGAGCCTACAGGTGGATGTAAGTGTGGACGTAGGGGCTATGAAATTAGAGTATGGGGTGAGGGGTGTGGCTGTGGCAAAGCACTGATGGCTGAAGAACATGTTTCAGTGGAATATGCCATGTGAGTGTGACTCATGTTGAAGTAGTTAGACTTAGCTTCAGTGATGAAAGATTATTTGTCTTTCTAGCTTGTTTTAAGTCTGTAATGTCATTACCTATCACTCCCTGGAGATCTACAGCACTATATTTTATACCACACATTTTATTGCTTTTCCTGTAATTAACCTCCAGCAAAGTAAATAGCTGTGATACAGTATGATCTAATGTTTTTTATGTTTTATTTATTTAGCCTAAAATCATGAATTTTCCTTAGAACTTGTACAACTACAACACTGTCTGTCCTTAGACACTTTAATATTATTTGTGACAAGATAATCACTGAAACATCCACTCATCAGCTTTTTTTTTTTCAGAATTTTAACCACATCTCATGGTCTTCATTAGCAAATAGCACAGGTGTCATCTCATTGACATTTGTTGCACCACTCGTCACTGGGAACAATTCCAACATTATCAATGCATAGTGGTGCATAGTGATACTTAGTGGACAGTTTCCACTGGTCATGGAGTTTCTCCAGCATTGTGGGAAATGTCGGGATATTCATTGGTATACGTGAATATAGAATAATGGATTTGCTTTACATTGGGCTTTTCAAAAGAACTGTGTATGAAACTATATAGTATGTAAAATATATATACTATACTATATATATTTCCCCTCAGATTAGTGGTTCAGTTAAAGAATCATTTATGTCCTGAGACTAGATATTGTATTATGATAAAGGTTTTCCACATTTACAGTAAACATTATATTTACACCCACTGAACCACAGATTTTGATGCTCTGGTGTACTGTGATATAACACTGTGTCTGCACGGAAAGTGCCGAATGAGCAGCAGAGCAGCAGCTTCAGTGTCACATAAGAGGCGTTAAGGTGCAGTGATTAAAACACTGATTGACTGATTAAAACAGGAGCGTATCTGCTGCATCAGACACGTGAGATGGACAACAGAGTTTTAGTGTTGTAGTGAGGCTCAACAGATCAGTGTGTGTGTGAATCAGCGGCAGCGAGTCGACTAAGCTCCCAGGTTGACCTCTGAACCCTGTGCAGCTTCACTGTGTTGATGACAGGGCTTTGTAAAAGAGTAGATGGAGAGGGAGAGAAATGAAAAGATGGAGGATGAACAAAAAGACTGTAAACATAAAACATACTTAATACAGTTGAAGTTAATTTAAGACAGTCAAAGTTGAATGGATGCGTGGTTCATTTCCTTGACTGGACTTTTGATGCCGCAGGAGAAAATATCTGTCATACTGTAAAAGGTGGATGTTTTCAGCTCTCTCCTTGAATTGCTCATTAAATGTAAGGGGCTAGTCTTTCCTGTGGCTCATGCAGACAACTCAACAGGACTCATGAGTCAGAACAATGACAGAGACGAGGAGACACTCCTAAGAAATAAGAGCATAAATGAGAAGAAAATGACGAGTTACTAGCACAAAAGAGATAACAGAGAGAGAGAGGGAGGATAAGAGAGAGAATGGCAGAGTATCTCTAGACAAATATTGGAGGTTCAAGAGCTCACAAGAGAGACAGATGGAGAGAAAGACTGAGAGAGCAGCATAGCTAGAAAACATTTGAAGAGGAAAGTGGAGAGAGGAGAGCAGAGGAGATGAGTGGGAGCTGCTGAGCTCTGTGTCGGAAATAGAAGTGAGGAAGTTGCTGTGGAAGACTGAATTTTAAGTAGGAGCACAAGGGCTTTAGCAGGCTTAGATAATATGTTGTGAACAACTTTATTTAAGGCTGTTTGATCAGACTGACAAGAATCACTCCTGCAGCCTTAATAATACAACACATAACAGTAACCTCAGGTAAACTAATGATCCACTGCTTCATTCCCTCACACTATAAACACGCATTAACGCACACATGTGCATGTGTGCAGGTGAAGATGCACTCTGAGCATTTCCACACAAACACACGCATACGCACACACACACACACACACACACACACACACACACACACACACACACACACACACACTGCCTGTGTCTTCATCCTAGCTGTCACGCTTTGAAGGACAGAGAAGCAGCTTTCATTGAAGGCTATGATTCAGCCATTTCGACACAGACACACACACACACACACACACACACACACACACACACACACACACTCTCTTTTCCCCTCCATGCAGTATTAATACAGCCCTGCTGTGTCCCACACCGCTGTGAAAACATCTCATAATGCAGGCAGTTCTGTTACACACTCTCCAGCTGGCTTCCCTGCCAAATATGAACATGCACTGGCTGAATCCTGCCTCCTTGCCGTGGCAGGGGGTGCTCTTATTCCTGCATGATGACTAGTGTTACTTTGAGATGAATTTCTGAAGGCAGATACAGCTTGACGCTGCCTATAGTCAGGACTTTGCGCTGAGATATTAAATATCTTGAAGTTTCACAACCCTTAAGCCAAAACCTACTACAGATATCAGGTGCTGTGTCTTCCTGCCAGACTGTTTTTGTCTTGGCTTGACAGCAGAACCTCTGTGGCAGTGTGTGGGTTTTGGAGAGCTACAACTAAAAACCTGTAAGATAATAGTACAGTAAGTATAACTAATAATACTACTAATAATTAAACATAGTCCTGTGTCAGTGTGCACAGCTGTAACCAGTGTGGCGGTTGAACCACAATTCTGTTGTGGTGTGATATTGATCCTCTGACCTGAGTCAGCGATGCTTTCTTTCTTTTACTGAATGCATTTAAGCTGAAACTCGACTGATAACAGTACTTGAGAATAATAAACATCCAAATACAGTATTATGACCACTATTCATTTTATATATAAACACATAAAATAACAAAACAAATATTTTGTGGTAAAGAAATGTCCTATAAATGATACTGACTGTATTATCAGACTGCTATAAATATTGGGGGTGGAGGGGGATGTCACTGACTGGCCAGTGTCAGATTTTTAATAAAACACCATTTATTACCTGAACTTATAATAGAGAGCAGGTTGTAAAGCGATGGTAAGCTTTCAGACCAAAACAGCTCTGCATTTAAAAACTGCAGGGACCGACTTCTTGATAGCTGAGCTGTTAAGTTATTATTATTTAAACTCAATGTGATTCGAGCTGCTCACACCCTGCTCCCTTTCCCCTCACTTCCTGTCTGTCTCTCTACTGTCTGCTGACAAATAATGGCAACAAAATAATAATATTGTGTGGGCACATTGGTACAGGTACTGGTGAGACAATAAAATCTGGTCCAGGAAGTCCACTTGAACAACAGATCCATGAGTCTGAAGGTTAATCACCAAAGACACCAAAACACAGCACAGGTTTACAACATAAAATCAAAATTAAACCTAACATTGTTTCAAAATACTACACTATTACAAAAGAAAATAAAGAGTTCAAGTTAAGGAGGTGTAGTGAGCAAAAAATGCTGACACACACACTTATTATTCTTCAGTCTGCTGGGTGCAGAGGTCTGGTGGGGGTTGGTGCAGTTGTAGCTCTTGGAAAGAAGCTGTTCAGTTTGTGTGTTTTATTGTTGTGTAGCTTCAGCAGAACATAGAGGGACAAACAGGGGGTGTCCAGGGTCTACCAGGTCTTTGATGATGCTACTGACCTCTTTATCATACAGTTAGTGTAGAGACTGTCCAGATTACATAGTTGTGTCTTGGTCACGCTTTGTGTTGCGCAGGTCTTTGCAGTTTTCTGCTCTACAGCTTGCGTGTGTGTGTGTGTGTGTGCTCTTGGTGCTGCTGACATAGAAGTTTATGAGGAGATGCTGAGGTAGTTGGGCCTGTTTTTAGTTTTGTTTTGCTTTTCTTACCAGGTAGGAGGCATTAACAGTCCAGGTGGGATATTTTGTGATGTGGACTGCTGTGGAATGCTGGAAGGTTATCACAGCAGACATAATTAGCTCTTGTTTGTATTTGATTGGCCACAGATTTAGCATCAGTGGAGAAGATCCTGCGTCGACTCACATTTTGTCAGTCAAATCACTGCACTTTATGCTGTGTCATTGTACACAGAGCAACAGAGTTACAGGCTTTAAAGTTTACACACCGTCTCAAAATAACCAACCACAAAAAAAACAAACAAAACAAACAAACACAAAACTAACTGATGGAAGTAGAGCCGGGCGTTGGTAAGGGAGGGCAGTGCGACTCTGTGAGCTGCTCCAGTGCTGACTGTCAATGAAGTCAGCTAAAGTACTTTGAACCAGACACTGGTGCAACCTCCTCTCCTGCTGTCCAGTTTGACTGAGTCTCCAGCTGTCAGCAGCCAATCAGGAAAGAGGGTTTTATAACTGAACTATGAGCAGTATGCGCATTTCTCTGACTGTGTGGAAATCTGATGTTTTCACTTCACAGACGATGAACAAAGAAATTAACTCCAATTAACTAGTGTAGGCTGAAACAGCAGTGTAGTGTGGGGCGGCTGCTCTGCAGCTGAGCTGGGCTGACACAGACTGAGCAGGAGA